GACCGCTTCTCACGGTATAGATGTTTATTGACTACTCTACATGACCAGAATGTATCTCTTTCACAATAAGACACGCGCTTATATAGAGAAGAGGAAAGAGAGAGATGACCCGGAGATAGTACGATATAGAGGTGAGAGGATAAAGAACAGAAAGAGATGAACGATATCATTATCGTTACACTATCCAGTTTTTTGCATTCTATCCTCGCAAAATCTTTCGGATCTCGTAACTTCGTTGTTTCTGGTTATGCCTCAAAAGTCGAAAAGAACATCTCAATCAGCCGCAGCTATAAAAAGTCGTTGGGCTAAGAAAAATGTTGATGAATTAGATGATGCTTTTGTTCCGGATATCCCGAGCGATCTGCATGACTCAAATGAAAATAATAAAGAAAAGAACTGTTTAAAGAACAAAATGAGCGTTTTGGATACTGGAAACTTATTTGAGGCATTGTAGGAAGAGACTTCCATTCGGCCGCTATCTGTATTAGTTTGTTTATCATTCGTGTATTTCGGGATACCTCGGCGAGATATTGATTTATTTCTAAAAGCGATCGGTGGACTTACCGCGAAGACTTGCAAGAAATGGAGTACAGATATAATCGAACAAGACTTAGAAGAATTTCTGCAAGACAACAGACGTGGTAAACACACCCTCACCTTCTAAGCTGTTGTTCTTATGTCTGGGTTTCAAAATTGAAAATACTTGCTAGTGACTATGGTGTAACAATAACCTTCTCGCCGAAATTTCACTGCGAGTTGAATCCAATAGAAGGACTATGGGCGCATTTGAAGCAGTATATCAGATGTCGAACCGATCAAACCTTTCCTACAATGCTCAAGTTAATTCAAAAATCCAGAACGAATTCTCTTGAGAAAAACGTTTCTCTTAAACTTATCAGAAGATTCTGGCGTACTTTGATCGCATATGAACGTGGTGACTCATATGAAGATGTACTGAACATGTATTTCAGTTCCATGTGCAAAACTAACGCGATTTCACATCGTCAAATCACTAATGCCAGGCTAGATGACTGATTTTGTTGTTTACCGTGTCTGTTCACCTTAAGGATATTTCAATAAGTATTCAAAAGAAATAGTCATTAGAAAGATCTTTATCATTATAAACATATAAGTTGCTCAAAAAGAAGAAATTAAAGCGAAAATACTGTTAAAAATCAAAGAAAAAAAATCCGATAGAACACGTGGAAAAAAACGATGAAATCTTGGGAATGAAAGTGGATAAAGGGAAAAGGATACGTAGATTATATCTAGGGCATCTAGGAAATCGAACGATGAAAGAAAAAAATGTATATCTTTACTAGAAAAATGAGTTGATGCATTTTTAATGCGAGGCACTCAATTTGTCCTCATATTAACAAAACTGATTTTTCTCAATGACAAAGACATGAGTCGAACCGCTAAAAAGCAGTGTCCTAGAATCAGTTTTTGATGCTGAATCAGGAGAAGAAACTTCCAAAGGTAAAACATATTTTTTCAAAACCATACGGTCAAATTTCGAGTGAGAATCCCGATTTTTCGAAAACCTCGGTTTTTGTAGTATTTCGAAGATTTCTCCTCGAAGACGACTTTCTATGTCACTAAATTATACATATTCGGATTCAGCGGATCAAACTGCATCATATCACATAAAAAGATCAACAAAAAAAAATTTGCTCCACTTTTGCCTGTCGCCAACCTTACAACAACTTCTGCTTAGATATATACTATCTTTGGATTTAACGAATGCGACTCTCAAGCAGGAAGAATAGCGCAAGATGTAGCATAACTAAGGCTAACATTTCCTTGCTTAAGATCCACTAATGTTGCTCATTCTTACCGAGACTTCTTTGTAAGCATATTTCGATATGTTTCAACTTTCATACTGATCTCATCATATAAATTACTGTTGTTGTATTCCTTCAGTTACCGTTTTCCTTTCAACTGTTTATTGCGTGTTTTATTGATTAACTGACTTTCTAATCCAAAATCTTATCGACCATTTCGTTTCTTTTATCGAACGCTTAGATCAAAATCTTTTTGAAGCAACTTTTTCATTTACTTTTTATTCTATCAAAGCTATTTGTACGGTTAGAGTATCTTTTTTGCTTACTACTATATGTATTTCAATATCTTTGTACTGATTGATGTTCTATTTCTAGATGAAACAATAGTTTCTTACTAAATTTTTTTAACTGTCCGGCTTTACAGTATATTTTACACGGATATCCAGAAGTACGCAGTTGTCTAGATACTTTTTGGTCTTTATCATAATAAGCATCGTAAATCGTTCTAAATCTTTCAAGCTTTATATATGTCGTTTTCCAAGCTCGTTGAGGTATGACAAATTGTGACTGTTGCTCAAACGCGTACAAATATAACTAAGTACTCTCATCTCTTAATCTTTGTATATCTAGTCTGTTCTATCTGCTTCGCAACGAGTATTGCTTTCTTTTAGGTGGTTTCTTACCAAGTTTCATCGGATCACTACCAAAGAATGGAACATTCTCATATGTTATATAGAGAATTAGCGTGTCAACATAGCATATTAACGTGTCTATGTCTGAAAGTGGTATTCCATCGGCAGGTGATTGTATATCATCGTGTGCATTCATGTGTGATGATGTTGGATAGTCTACAATAATAAAAACACACTGCTCAATATGTTGCAAACCTAGAATTTTAAAATGGTCCAATGACAATAAAACAAATTAATGAAAAGAGCGTTGTTTCGTCTCGCTTTGTGCTCATATATTTGGATTTATGTTTATGATACTGTTTGCACCTCTGGTCAGACATACAGATAATTCACTGAAGATGCAACCAGTTTGGCTTGGTATTAAGATTTGCTCAGCTACTAACGAAAATATTGCAGCTTTTTTCCTAGACCTTCTGACTGATGAACTGTGGAGATCAACTCTCAAATGCATAGCTTCTCAGTTGCTAACTCACCAAAAGTCTTCCCTCAAGCTTCTAACGAAACAAGAGTTTGTCAATTTCTATGTCGCGTTGATGAACCGATGCAGCTGTTAAAAGCTCTTCTTTTAATCTGCCTCAAACGTGGCATGGATACGTTGGGAAGTGTAATAAATTAATACAAACAAAGTGACTCATCCTTAACCTAAGTGTGCCATTGTAAGTACTCATTTTGAAAAGTAAAAAAGATACTCTCTTTGATAGGTTCAGATCGCATTCAAAATGCTTGCTTCCGTAGATAAAAAATACGCAAGTGATAGTTTCGCCTTCAAAATATTGATAAAGAGTTCGGTCTCAAGTACATCAGAATAAAACAAAATCGAATACAGAGCACACCACCAACAAATGAAACGTACTGCTCTCTTTGTGGTAAACATAATACTAGATAAAATGAGACTAGTATTCGCGTTCAAAAAACTCGATTCTCAATTACAAGTTAATTCGTTTTCTTCCTATTTACTTTTTACGAAAAACGCGTAGAAACGAAGAAGAAAAATCTATTGGTGTTGCTAGGAATATATTGTTGATAAATTGAAGATAGAAGGACTTTCCGTATTGTTCAATTTGTATCAAAGCAAAATGTTATCTACAAAAAAGCCAATAAGGATATAAGCACACCTATACTTGACAAACGGTAGACCCTCCATCGACGTGTCTGCGCCGCCATACGAGTCGCCAGAAAAAGAGAGAGAGAAAAAGAGAGAGAGATAAATTATAAAACGATCAACCAATTAAAAAAATGTTCTGTTTAATCCGACCTCTGGTGTCACCACATTCAACGTGTAATTTATTTCTGAATACATCTTTTAAGTGACATTACAATGAGTATAAGGAAACTTTTCACAAGAAATTATTACAAATTTTGTTCATATGTGTGTTTGTGTTCTATCACGCAGATGATTTCTATTGGTGCGGTATCATTAGGTTCCACCAATGAAAGAATCGAGAATTCAAGCTCATGCATATATTTCATTTTCCAGCAGTTTCGATCTTTTCGACATATTCGATAATATTTCTCATTCGATTCTCAAACAACTTAATCAATATGTCATTGAACGCTTGTTTTATCGAAGTCGATGCTACTGGAACTTATGTTGCATTTCACCCTGTACAGATTCAACGTGGACAAATTATTCCAGAGTACAATTTTATGAGTATATGGTCGGAACCTCTACCAGAAGATTCATCGAAAGTTACTGAAGCGCTGTGTAAGTAGAGCATATCATTTTCAATCATTTATAGAGATAAAGATTCTAAATAAAAGTCGAATGGCATATTAATTCCAACATATAATGTGTTCTCTTCTCCCATTTCAAGACACTAAACAGTAATGGCGCGACCGGCGATATAACACAACCCTCAATCTTCAGAGAATCGTTTTTTGCTCATCAAAATCAAATTTTTTTCAAATTCACATCAAACAGGGTCGTAGGTAGATTTAGTTTTTAAAATTTTAAAATGGTCCTGGAAAAACTTCAGCAACGTTCTGAAATATTTTAGAAACTCAGTACTAAAGTTTTCCAGAAGCCAAAAGGTTTTCTGTGGATCCGATTGAAACCTGAGGGGCAATACAGGATTTTTTACTTTATCTTAGTTTTTCTAGAAAGTCAAGGCAGCCCCACGCTATTCCTCATTTTTGCAAAATTCCTAATTTTTCGCGCAACTTTAAAAAAGAAGCAGTCATCATAGCACCAGAATTTATATATCACTCTAAAAAACTCAAATTTCGGTTGAGTCGCGCCTCTACCGGTGACAATAAGGCAACTTCTCATAGGCATTATCTACATACATTTTAGAATAGAAGCTTTTTTCTAATCTCATCATCTAACGTATATGCAAATTGATTTTTCTCTAATTTATATTTATGTTTTTTTAGTGGAATCTATTGTTAAAGTGTTCAATAGAATGCCAACTACAGCGGTGAGTAAAATTACCTATTACTAATAAAAAATGCATCTTAATTATCTATAGGACTTTAATGATGGTCGCCATGAAAGACTGGTTATTTGGCTGAATGTTGAGCTTATTCCTCCTAATATTAATCTGTTACAACTGTCAGCTGGGTTCATACATTCCGAAATCACATTGGTTTTTGTAACTGAAATTACTCGTGACTTCCAAACTTGGGATCTTTATCGTGAAACGGCTCGAAACACCGGTATGCACAAATATTCTGGACTGACTTCATATGTTGTTTTCCATTCGTGTTAGGTGGTGAGTATATACTGCTTCCAAGTGATCCAACGGCTCTGGAACGTGCTATATTATCGGTCATTAATGGTGGAGATACTCTACGACAAGCATTTCTTCATTTACGAACGCAACAAAGCACAGCAACTCCTAGTCGTCCAACTGATGCCAATGAACAAACACAAGGTGCAGCCAACGACTTGATTTTCCCGTTTGACTGATAACAATGCAAAAAACGCTTAAAACTTTCTTAGACTTATTGACACTCAGATTTATAATAAAAAAAAAGAAAAAAAATGATCTGAGCGTACAAAAATATCGTTCTAGATTACATTCGGTTGTTTCTTTTCAGATAATACAAGCGTTACATATAGTAGCGACTGTTTCGTAGCGCTACACTAAGACAAAATTCCATCCATGCTTCTTACAAACATGAACCGACAACCACAGTAACTAATTGGAAGTCGAACTTGCTATTATGAAACAAATAAGTAACGATCCGTTACATTTTCTTCAATGGACAGTCGTATCATTAGTATTTAAGTACCCAGCTGTTTGGTCGATCAAAACGAAGAAAAGAATATTACATCGAGAAACTGAAACAACTAATTTTAGTAGAACTATCTGCAACATTTCGATCTAATGCCGAGAATATCGACGTAAGTCACCTGTTTTCCACGCTGACATGACGCTCAGTATAGCAATTTATCTGTTAGCTTTTTATTTTTGACATTAAACGATCTTTAGTCGAAGGACGCTTTGCATCTCGAAAACTTGTCGCTTGGAATTTTAAATGAGGTGTCAATCGGCGAAAGAGTTGAATGACTGTGTCAAGTAATACGTCTGCCGGTTGATACGTGCCAGAGTTATTGTTCAGCCAAAATGCGTTGTTTTCATCCCGCCAAAATTCTCCCGCAAATCGAACATCTTTAGAGTTATTACATAACGTTGCATGTTTACAAAATAGACGGTGTAATAAATTATGACTTTGAGAAGTTTGTACAATTGAGAATGAACTGCCAGTCAGAACAAAGTTGTAACGAAATTTAGAATCATGTTTGGATAGTAATTGTTCTAGAAGATCTTCTATTGTTGTGGAGTATGGTAATTGTTCCCAATTATCAATAATTTGTGACTGCGAAGCAAATATTAATGGTGTAAGGTAGACGATACTTCGTTTAGCTATGTTTTTAGGTGTCATTGAAACGAACGGAGGAAGTTTATCTGGAAGATATTTGTTAATTAGTTCACTTGAAATGTCATATTTGTAAGCAATATAGTCATCGAATGCTGTAGACGTCAATATGCTTTCTTCGAACATTGAGTAACTTTGCGAAATAATGTGTGCAGTAGTTATTTATATGTCACCATTGTTATGAAACTCGCCATGCAGAACATGCAGTTTTGAAAACAAGCGAAACGCTCCCACCAACGCCCATTTCGCGTCATATGATTGCCCGTTCGGGTATGTTACATTACCTAGCGACATATTGACTCACGAAGTAATTGCACATATTTTTTTAATCGAAAGATCAACTTGGATTCTATATACTGAGAATTTCATTCATTGCAGTTATCGATGAGAACTAAGAAATAAAAGTAACATTGATTGTAGAAGTTACAGAAAGCGACAAACAGATCTGAAGTGTTCATAAAATAAAAAATCGATATTTTAAGGAATGTCTGAAGTTCAAATATGACGGAATGCTTGTCGGAGTGAATAACTATCAGTTAGCACCATCGTTGTAACACGTCCTAAATCACGAGCTGCGTCTGCCATCAACATATAACCACCATCTACAAAGTATAGTAAACAGCTTATTCATTACAGTTACTTTTAAGTATAGGTCATCTCTTTTCTCATACCTGTACTATGAGATAAATCACGAAAAAAATTCCAAGTATCAAAGGCAGGTGTACAAATGAGAACAACGGCTAAAGTAATACCATACCGACGAAATTCACGGGTTAATTGATCACGATCAGCACCAAAACGAATACTGCCATCGGTAATCATTACAGCTAATCTTTCACAAGATTCTTCATGGCCATTCTATGGAAAATATTGAGCCAATTAATTATGCTTCAAAATAGTCTTCTTGTACTCACATTGTGAGACTCTATAGATTCAAAAGCTTCATTCAAAAGCTCACCTACATATAAGATACAGAATTACAATAAACATGTTTTTGGTAGAAAACGTCGGGATCATGATTTTTCCAATTAGATGCAAAGAATTTGATTGATTACTTACAGAATGGTGTGCTTATTTCAGAATTAGGCATTCCTCGTATTATGGCACCAAGTCTTCGTGTAAATTCGTTGATTAATTGCGGATTATTATAAGCATCAACAATAATTTGATTGCCATCCAGCTCACCCTGAAATCGATTGAACAACATTCCACTGCTTTCAGCAGAAAGGCTGAATATAATACAAGCAATTGAATTGACCATTTGAATCTTTAAATAAAGGTTAAAGTGAAAATCTATTAGAAACGGACGATCAGCTATTGAAGCATTCAAAATAATGATTGACGTAAAAAAAAAACGTGTACAAGACTTCTTTCTGTTGCGTGAGATACTCGACAGTGACTGTAGATTAAAAAAACAACCACCGAATGTAAAAAATAATCGATAAATGTTTTTCCTAATATACAGTGTCTTCTCTCCTTTTTTTTTTCTTTCGTTAAGTTTCTAACAAAGTAATCATGTATAGGACTTTTTTTTTTCTTACGTCCAGACGATCTCCGACGCAGCCTTTTGCTTGTTCTCTCTTCCCTCTTTTTCTCGTAACCGCGCTCATAATTGTCGTTCTCCTATACGACGGACTGATTCCGTCGATATAAAGGCTATCTAGTTTTTACTCAGGTGTTAAGAATGCATGTAATGCGAGAAAAAAACACTAGTTTGGATATATTTTATAGAACTATAACTGTATGTGTGTGAAAGTTGTTACTCACAAACTTCTCAACGGCAGAAATCTGACTTGACATATGTTTATCAAAATACATAAATTTTCTCGTCAATGTTTTACATTCTTCAATCTCAATTTCACAATCTTTGCTTCACGACGCTGCTAACCATCGAATGCTCGAATACAGACGATTATTCATTCATCGTATCATCACTACGAACAAACTGTTTGATGAAACTAGTTACAAAAAAAATCTTTACGAAGCACATTGATCAATTTGAAATAATTTAGAGTGTCCAGAGAAAAAGTTCTGCTGATCCACTAATGAATGCTAAATATTTCATAGTACTCGAAAGATAATGAAGACGACAAAGACTGTCGTATTTTCAATTCAAATTCAATTGCACATCTTGTTGATTGTATTTGACACAGTAATGATTAGTAAATAGTTGTAGATGCGAAACTAAAATCAATACTAAATAAACAGAGGAATTTTCAATTTTCCATAACTGTTATAACCTAGTGCGATATAAAGACTGATTGCTGCCATTAGTCATCGATCAACTATTGTCATTTCCGATTTCTTTTCGGTTTTTGTGTGTTAGTTGACACATACAATCTTTCGATATACCATTCGTTTATCAATGTATCATTATCTTTGCCTATTGTCCTGTTTGATGCCTTCGGCCGTTCATTGGTTCTATGATACCGTAAATTTGCCTTGGTGATCGTATTTTCTTTTTGTCTTTCCCCTACTCGTTCTATATTCGCGAAGCAAAAGAAACACACGGAACATTGTTTACGCAGTCGTTTTCTTCCTACGATGTACTATTAGCAATAACACAAATAGTGATGCCTTTGCCATCCACAATGAGTTAACAAATACGATCTGTCGAGCATGCATTAATTTTTCTTCCTCGTCGTGTTACACAACGGAGATTATAATAAACTTTATTTTAACGTCAATAGTACGAAAATCAAGCGAAATGTTATTGATAGAAAAAAGTGACTCGGTGTGTCAAGCTCTGTTGTCCAATTAATGATGCAAGCTTATATCGTTGAGATGATTGAAAATCTTGTTTCTAAACGATGACAATGTTAAATTTGAACAAACAAAAAGAAGATCTGTATTTTAAATGCTTACATGCATCGACGTCAGTTGTGAGAACTATGATACAGTGACGTCAATGGGATGTCTTTCTTCTATAGATGCCATTGTCATCTTGTCTTTCTTTCTTCCTAGGTAATATTCTAAAGGAATACTTTCACAATATTAACCCCTCTTGATCCTATATATATAGTCGAAGGTTTTATGTTGCTGCTCGGTTTTCATTCACTTCAAGACGTGATGTGACAATGATCGTGTTGTATCTTGCATGCTATCTATTGGTACATTTATTGGACCAATAGGATATTCTATGAAAAAGCCATGATTCATGTTAACGTAATTTTTCTGTCGAAATTAGTAACGAATACATAAAAGTTTGTTTTCTAGATTCGTTCTTCTAGTATTGCGTTTATAGATGAGGAAATGATATAATTGCATAATGCGTCTAATCAAAAAGATTCTTGATCGTGGCTCTGCGGGTGAGCTAAAGCTTGAACCCGAAGAACCAGAAGATATGTGGCATGCGTACAATTTGATTGCCGCTGGTGACAGTCTCCGTGCATCAACAGTGCGAAAGGTAGTACAAACTACAGATACAGGATCATCGACAACGACAAAGAAACGAATGATTTTAACCATCGAAGTGCAAAGCGTTGGTTATGATAGTGCAGCAGCGAGTACATTGAGAGTAAAGGGACGAACGATCGAAGAAAACGAATTCGTTAAAAAAGGTATTATAGACGATTAAAACAAATTTTCAATATCTTTTTTCCTTGTAGGTTCCTACCACACACTTGACTTAGAATTACATAGTGCCTTTACCTTGAGAAAACATGAATGGGATTCTATAGCTCTCGATCGCGTCGAAATGGCATGCAATCCAGTTCACCAAGCTGATGTGGCAGCTGTTATTATGCACGAAGGTTTAGCGAACGTATGTCTCATTACTGAACATTTGACAATCAATCGTCAAAAAATAGAACATACCATTCCAAGAAAACGCAAAGGTCTCTGTGCTCAGCATGACAAAGGAATGGAGAAATTCTTCGATGTCATCATTGCTGCTATCATTAAACATATAGATTTTTCCATTGTGAAAGCAGTTATTATAGCAAGTCCAGGTTTTATTAAAGATCAATTCTATCAATATATGTTAGCTAAAGCTACACGCGATGATGAAAGACATTTGCTTGAAAATCGCAATAAATTTATTCTATTACATTCAAGTAATGGTTTTAAACATGCATTAACGGAAGTTTTACAAGATCCACTGGTCTTAAATCGATTATCGGATACGAAAGCGACAGGTGAAATGAAATTACTTGACCAATTTATGCAATTGTTAAATGATGAGCCCGAAAAAGCTTATTACGGGTTAGAAGTAATTGAAAAAGCAAATCAAGCACAGGCTATTGAACGTGAGAGGAAAATCTCGAGATTCGATGGAATAATCTAAAATAATTTATCTGTTTAGATTTACTGATAACTGATGAACTCTTTCGAAACATTGATTTCAATAAACGACGTCGTTATGTTCAACTCGTAGATTCTGTCAAAGAAAATGGTGGTGATGTTCGATTATTTTCCAGTATGCATGCGTCGGGCGAACGATTAGGTCAATTGACAGGTATTGCCGCAATTTTGCGGTTTCCCATGCCTGACCTTGACCTCGCTGATGATCATCAGCATCACGAAGCGAATAATGGAAACAATCACGATGATTTACAACCGAATCCGAATCGACCGACGGATGATGATGCTGATTTTGATGAAGATCCATCCGCGAACACCTATCGCACATTGAATGCAAATCGAGCTGAAGCATCAGCTTGGTGATAATATTCATCTATGTCATTAGGCAAATCTTCTTCAAAATTTTTCTTTCTTTATTTATTTCGCGGGTGTTCACTTCTCTTCTTCTCTCTATCGTATAAATACGTCTCTCTCTCTCTCTTTATGTGTGTGTATTTTCACACGAGTGGCGTACTGAAGATTTCTTGAGATATTTATCGTTTAACTCTATTTTTCTGCTACTCCTACACTCATATATTTTGATTTGTCAGGTTATATTCTTGTTGCATTGAAGTAAAGAAAAAGAAAATCAAGATTTCCTATCGACAAAAAAAAACATTTCTTCTCTTCCAACTAAAATCCTTTTTGCTTCTGCCATTGAGTCGAAGTAAAGAAAGACACTTCGATGCGTTGCGCCATCTAGATGAAAAAACAAATGATTGACGCATTAATGATTAAAACAACGTCAAATTACTTGATTAATTGCATATCTAATAATATTCGTTTGTAGATTTTGATTCGAAAAAAGAACTTTTTGATTGGCTTTCAAAAATGGTTTTCTAGGCCACGTATTCCTACCAATAATTTTCAATTCTTATGTTTACAAATTCCACATATCATTCACTTCAACATCTGATGCCTTTCTTCTAGATAAGCGCGCCAGAATCATTAACACAACTCTCGTTAGGAATTAGTTATATTTAAGATGAATATCTTTCGATTATTAGGGGATTTTTCCCATTTGGGAGCAATCATTATTTTATTATTAAAAATTTGGAAAACACGTTCATGTGCTGGTAAGGACAAGCTATGAGTATGTCTGTCTCCTTTCTACATATTTCATCTTAGGTGTTTCGGGCAAGAGTGTTTTACTCTATGCAGTCGTCTTCACATGTCGTTATCTTGACTTATTTACACATTTTGTTAGTTTGTATAATTCGGTTATGAAAATAATTTATCTCGTTTCAACGTATTTTACACTGTTTTTGATTTATCGAAAATTCAAAGCAACCTACGATCGTAATCATGATACCTTTCGTATTGAGTTTTTAATCTTACCTTCGGCTGTACTTGCTCTCTTATGGAATCATGAATATTCCGTATTGGAAGTAAGTTTGATTGCGAAAATTACACAAACATAAATGATTTTGTTTTCGTTTCGAAAAGATTCTTTGGACATTTTCGATCTATTTGGAATCTGTAGCTGTTCTTCCACAGTTATTTATGGTTAGTAAAACAGGTGAAGCTGAGACGATTACAAGTCATTATTTATTTGCATTGGGTATCTATCGATTTCTCTACATTCTCAATTGGATCTATCGGTACTACACGGAAAACTTCATCGATTGGATATCCGTCGTTGCAGGTGTTGTTCAGACAGTTCTTTATTGTGACTTTTTCTATCTTTACATAACTAAAGGTAAGATAGAAGAAATTCGTGCTTTGACAAGAAAATCATTTTATGTGTTTTGATTTTAGTTTTGAAAGGAAAAAAATTGTCTTTACCTGCTTAAATCTCGGTCGATTTATCTTCGTCGGACTCGATTTTTTTTTGGTTATCTGTTTTCTTTTTCTCTTTTTTATTTAACATCAATATTGTTATCAAGTGTCTTTATGAAAGAGGACTTAATTAGACACAACACTTTTCTTTCTTTGTTATTCGATGATCAAATCTTTTCTATCCTTAGAAAAAAAAAATAACATCACTTACATTCTTTTTTTCTTCGCTTCATGCATGTTTTCTTCTTTATTTTGCTGTATGTTACACTTTAAAATCAATAAAAGAAAAAGAGGAAAAACGTCAATGACTTCTTAGGCTAAACTTTTCCTTTTCCAGTGCTTTGTCATTATGTTCTTGTTTTGCTTTCTCTCATCGTTTTTCATGTCTATGGGCTTTAGTGTGCTTCTTGTTTTTTGTTTTGTTTTATTCGTTTTTGTCATTATTCTATCCATTCTAAACGAAGTTGAAAAAAGATAATTTGAGGTATAAATGATACTACTTTGGTTTGCTTTCCAGATGACAGAATCAGAAACTAAATCGAAAAAGACTCGAACAGGTCATTTAACGTCACCGACAAATGTAAATGCAGCAAATCATCTTTCGTATTTATTTCAAGTATGTGAGGTCGAGTTTGTCATCCTATTGCTCACACGCATGATTTCCGTAGATAGCACATACAGTTTTATTAACGACGACGGATTTGAACTTAGTTCGTCATCTTGTCAAACAGATTCGTGTACATGCTCAAAAGAAACAAATTCGTTTGTAAGAGAAACGAGATCATTGTCAGAGTTTTCTTCATGGAGTGCTTTAGACATCCGGAAATGAAACGTTTGTTGTGCCAATGTTGTAATATGATTCTATGGGCACCGTTAACTGCGAATGTCCATTTTAGTAAGGATTTTCAATGAAGACAACGTATCATCGATCCTTTTCATTTAGATAAACGTAAAACAGGAATTGTTGTCACTTGTTCGACATGTGGTCGATCTCGAACGTATCCAAAACAGAATTCTTGGCCAACGGAGCATGGTGCTCATACACCGAGCGATTGGCTTTTTGATCTCTCATCTTCCGTTGCAAAAGAAAAGAAATAATTCATCATTTTCGTTTTCATTTATTCTAGATGGGTAGATTTGATCCTCAATTTCGTTTTTTAAAATATAAACCACCATCGAAGCTTCCGAGGTAATTGACTTCGATTATATTTGCTCTATGACAATTGTTTTGTTTAGAGCGATTCTTGCGCCGAATTATCGTCTCAATCAATTTCAATTTCGACAAGCATTACCTGCACGATTACGAGATTATGTCCGTGGTGGCGGAACAAGTGCATCAGGTAGATTGCTATTCTAATCCTTCATTTTGATCATGTTCGATCTTTAGAATACACTTGTGGTCCATTGATGAACATTGTAAGTGATATTTTCTTCGCAATATTCCTCTCACTTAGTTGAAATCTATAGATGTTAACTTGTTTGCAAAAAAATGAATATGATAATTTTGGATGTGAAAAGGAAGTTGCTGATTTTTATGCATGTGTCAACGAATTTCAAGTACACTGTCTACTTACACGAAACATTTTTTTCTAAATATGATCTCTTTCATAGAAAACAAGTGCTGTCGAAAAAGAAAATCTTAAAGGTGGTGGTGATCCAGATAAAGTAGTCAAACAATTCGCCAAAAATCGGCAACCAGCTTGGCTATCGAATAAACTTTTAAAAACATACCCAACATCATCATCTGTCGAATAAAATCTGTTGTTCCTATTTTTGTATTTGTCAGTATCTTAGGACTAGGATTCATTGAAAAATATACATGCTATGCAAACAAGATTCTGCATAATCTTTTGGTTAATAGGTTGACGGACATGCCCTTTCATCACCGCTATGTTATCGACTGTTGGCGTGTGGTCTTGTTTTCGATTCTATTAACAAAGATTAGTTTGTGTTATTGAATTAATACCCATCACTACGATCGTATTACATACGAGCGATAATTAAAAAGAGTCTGTTGATCATTTTCAGTGCCTGATAACTAAACAAATAGTCGAAGAACATTGCTAATGTTCCGTCTTATTGGATCCTTGTCAATAATCCGATATAACTAGTAGTAGACAGACAGGGGAATGTTTATCTTGTTGTCTTCAGCATACATAAGATCTAGATGACATAACATGTGCAAATTGTCCTTCTTTTTTTTCTGCGTCTACTCTTAATGTTGTTCTAAAGTATCAAGGACCAATTCAATACACTTCATGCATAGCAAAAGTGAATAGCGGAGCATCGGATGAATTCATTTGTTCGGCTTCATCATCTTCTTGCCGTCGTCAGGAATGGCAAGCTCGAGATAGTCATTGAATAGAAACTACTTAGATAAGAATTGTCATTTCTGGATGTCGGATGTAATAGAAAAAAAACCAAGAGACGAGGAGAAAAAGGAAAAAAAAGGAAGAAGAGACAAGAGTGGAAGATGTGTCTTCGTTCGACAGCCATTCATGGTGTATTTCTTCAATTGACAGACTCGAAACGATCTGTATATGTATATGTTGCTTTCACCGATTAGATGCCCGCATTTATCATTACTCTTATTGTGTCACACAGATAAGGAACATCAACAGTCGAAATAACCACATGGCTGCGTTGGCAAATAGAACTCGATGTTTATCTTTTGTCATATACACGAGAACTGGTGAGTAAAAGTACTTTGTTAACATATACATTGATTTTCTTTTCACTCGTTCTCCTTGTCAATTTTTTTATCAAGTAAAATCAATATACCAGGGGACATGTAAATAGTAATGTATTAAATCATTAATAAGTCATCGATGATTATTTCGACTATTAGCCTAAAGGGAATTAATTCTCATTTCATGCGACAAGGTTCTTCTTCTTCATAACGCAACATCTCGTCTTATCAGTTGTAATAAAAAAAAAACGGGATTAAATGGAGTGTTCTCTTCCTCGTTTTCTCCTTTTCTCTTCTTCTGTTGCGTTAGGACTACTGACAATGAAATGCTCGTTTTCAATGAGTATCATCGTATGTGACGTACATCAACTGACACACAGTTAGAGAAATTGTATATTTTGATAATCGAAAGATGTTAGCAAGTTATTAGTTCTATGTCCTTGTCTTTCATATTCATCACTGTGTGTGTTTTGGGCGCAAGGAACGAATGCCAACAAGTTCTAATGAGGTTAACTAATGTCAATCGACTAATACGCATCTGGTGAACACAATGATTTCTTTTTGCTTTCCGTACAAGCACGTTTCGCATGACATCATGTGCAATGCGTATCGACCATCGGTTTGACTTGCTAAGGTGAGCAGCGAAAAAGCTAACGTTCGACTCTATTAGCTCATCACACTTTCAATCATAAAATAGCGTGTATATTTCTTTTTGCTAGCGACAAAAAATATCGTGATTAGTTATATATGCATTTGTGTCGTAAATAGAAGTCAAATCATGCGTTGCGGGTGTCTACACACAGAACAGTAATGCAAATGTTCGTAAAATTGCAATACTCGTACTGAGTATGATATGCTGAAGACTCGCCTCTTTCTAAGACCGATGCCATTGAGTGACATAGTACAACGTAGTTTTCTTCCGTAGACAACTTCCGCTCAAACGATAGAAAAAATTTGAGTTTCATTATATATTGAACGATGGTATAATTAAAAATTCCAATCACGTGCTAATCGGTAAACATAGACAGTCGGTTTCTTTTGTTTTATTTCACATGTATAGTTTATTTTGTCATGTTCTTATCAATCGTTAGTATAGTTTCAATGTCATACAATTTGAACTGTCCAAAAAAGTAAAGAATGAACTATTAGATTTAAATTTCTTTTATTCTCTTGGAGTATGCGTTTTGTCAATAGTATGAGTGTAGAAAAGACGACAGAATGTTTTCTTTTGTCGTTCTGCATAGCTACGGCGAACGATTGAATTCTTCTAGACATTGAAATTACTTTTTGTGTTGAAATTGTATCTTTCGTCTTTACTTATTTAGAACGATTCATAGACATGCGAACAAACTATGAATGATGGCCGATAATTATCAATGATACGCCCGACTAGAAGAGTCGGGCAACAAGCCAGTCTATGGCTTTTGTTTGCGCTCCGCATAAAAAAATGTTTTCGACTTCGATATTTATTAATAACATTAATTATTCTCATTCTGTTAACATATTTACGCCTTATTAATCATGCTCCCGTCGATCCATCGATATTGAACGACGCATTGTCTGATCATCGACAACAGAAGAATTCTTTAGACAAACTCCACTCATTAAAATGTAATTTTGATGAAACTGAATCGCTACTTCGTTACAAATCACCTCGATCATCACACACGGACAGTCGTCCAAGACCGACAATCGAACGACTACGTAAGCTCTTTCAAATGCTCATTTCCTACGAAGACAAATTTCGTCGTGTATTCGATCACCTCCAGATCTTTCGTTTTACCGACATGCACAATACACTACGTCCATACGCTAATGATACGCAACGTTTACATAACATTTATTGTCTATTACAACGATATACAACCATATCCGATAGCGGTCATATCGACATACAATCAAGCTTTATCAATTATTTATCTCAAGTTTCGAGCTATTTAGCGGATGGTTTTGATAACCAACATTTGAGTTGGAATACAACTTCAATCGATGAAATTCGTAAACCGGTTATTGTTCTTGGATCGAATGTTCATTTTTTTAATATGCTACAAGCATCCATGCGGACTATTGATAAGTTTTTAAAAGATCATAACGTTGTTATCTATGATCTAGGATTCACTGCAAATCAAGTAGATATGGTAAGATTTGAATCAGTATCAACATATGAAAGACAACATTGAAATCTTATTTGAATTTTCTACGTTAGATTACGGCAAATTGTAAACGTTGTACAGTTATTAAATTTCCATTTGAGGAAATCAAAAGCGTAGCCGGTCATGTTCAGAATTTAGCCAATTTTGCATGGAAACCGATTATCATTCATGTAAAAACTTCATAATCAACAAAGAATTCAAGAAACGGAATATTTCTTTTCTCGTTCTAGGATGCTGTGCGACGTTTTGGCTCTATTATTTACGGTGATACATCTGTTCGTTATAATACTTCACATTTCACTCGATTACTCATTGATAATGAAATCCGTGGCTTTTCATGTCGGGAATTACCTGGTCATTATCTACCATGCTACACATTAGAGAAAACATTTACATGGTTCAATGAAACACCGTCGACGTTTGATAACGTCTACATCGCTGAAGCAGGCTTCGTTGCTGTCACAGATAACTTCTTATCACGCCTGGTACTGAAGACATGGGTTACTTGTGCCCTTGATCCAGAATGTATCGCACCAACTCAATCAAAATCAGTATGCAAACATCGCTCCAGTGCAGGGAACGTTCATCGTTATGATCAATCAGCAATGGTAGTCGTACTTTCGTTCTATTTCTTTCCAAGTTCACGAAATGGTAGTACAAGTAATCCAGCTCCGTACGATATGTATGCTTCCATTCAAGGTAAACTAGCAGAAGTTCGACGTGGTGAAGGCGATCCAACCTATTTTACTGTCCATAAACCCTAGAACAGTCAAAAGTAAGTTCCTTTGGTATTGCTGTGATATGATAATTTATAGAAGTTTGTTTTGTTATTTTTTTATTTATTAATAATAAATATTGATCACAAGATTAAGTTGCTCTCCAAGGTGCATCATGGTCTACCTGACGTCGAAAGTCGTCAGTGTTGCTTTCACAGAAGGAAAGTTCATCTTTAATTGAAAACAAAAATTAGTTTTATTCACTTACTACTGCTACGATAGCGTCTATCTGATCGTATGCATTCATCATTACTTGACTATCTCGTTTACAGTGTACATTGTTCCGATAATCAAGAATCGACTGTTTTTATTTAAAAGAATAAGAAGAACAAAAGTAGAATTTGTAATACCGATTGAAGAAAAAATTGGAACAAATGAAATGTTGATGAAGTAGAATTCGATTGGACTGGACCTATTTTACAACGAGCGTCAGGTGAATGACGTGTACAACCATCAACGCCGCCTGGACAGTTAATATTGATCTGTGATTGAAGGTAATGTTCTAGTTGTTGAAATTGATTCTGAACTTCAGCTTGAGGACATTTATCCAAACGAGATTTTAGACAACGGAAATATGCTGTCGATTGCTGACACCAACTACGTTTATTCAATGTATTCCATGACGGATTAAATCTAACAGTAATCATCAATGGTTGACATAAGTCGTTGATGACTTTCACTTGACATATCTCATTAGCATTCGATGTTTGAATAGGCGATGAACCGAGAATACCATTTTTGGCTACCGCACCTGCATTGTGAGTACCACCACTTCGAACAGAATCCGCTGCTTCGGGTTGCTTTGGAGTATCCCAGATAATGTTAAATTTATAATCTTCAATTTTATCACTACAAAAGCCCAACAGTTCATCAACGCGTTTCCGAATGCCTAAAACAAAGGTTCGAGTCTGAATTTTACTACTGTACAAAATTCTATCTAACTCCTTACCTTTCATAATGGATTCCATCGCCATTTCATACTTTTCCTTGTTCTCACAGCCACGATATTTCTTGTGAACACATTCGAAATAGACTCGTGATGCAGTACAATATTTGATTGGATCTGTTTCTCGATCTTCTTTTTCCGGCTTTTGACCGCATGCACGTGAACCCATCACATCACACGCATGGATGGTCGAAATCATGATGATTACGAAACAAGAACAACAATACATGAAAGAACTATACATCATTGTGTTGCATCGAAATATCTAATGTTTAAAAACGAAGACAAGTCATTAATTTTATGATTGTCACCTTCTCGTTCAATACACGATTGCAGAAGAAATTGTTGCTAACAATTTTGAATAATCAAGACAAGAAGAAAAAAAAAGAAAAGAGATCATGCACGCACGAAAGACGAACATTTCTCGTTTACCGATCGATATGTTGTTGCATCAACGAGAAATCGTTGACATTTTCTCATTAAACAAACAACAGAAGCTTTATTGAATCTCAGTGATGAGATATAACGAGAGATGAACAGAGAGTGAAAGAGAACAAATATTTATTTAATAGCAAAATGGATGTTCTCCGTACGATGATAATTAAACACTAAACAAAACGCGATTGTTACGTCGCTCTCGCTTTCTGTTCATCAAGATGTTTCAATCCACCATGATTTCAGTCCTAGACCTGGTTCAGATATTGAGCCAATAATTGTATAAGGTATTTTTTTATCATCGTCATTAGCAGTTTGAGTTATGGATGCACCCGGGTTTGGAGACTCTTTCGGTGCCGTATCTTCGAAAATTTCCTGTACAACACGAAAACTAAAAGCACGATAAATAATTTATTTCTAATAGAATCAATTCTCTCTACCGGATTTCTTCTCCAATTTCCATGACAAGATCATGTGTTTCATCGCCGGTTTCATATTGCCATGCCCATGTTTGTTCTGCTTCGATAAAGCGTGATGGATGTTGAAGTTTAGTCGATGGAATGAGTATATCATCAAAAAAGCCTAACGTCACTGTAATACCATCTTTACTCGATGAGCGAATTTTACCTTTGAAAATATGAAATATTCATGAAATAAGCGAGTCATTTTCGACATTCTTACCAACAAGTATTTCGTCGATATTTGGACGGAAGACGACATAACGAAATTTGACTTTGATATGAAAATTAGCATCTGATGGCAAGAGGATGCAATCACCCATAGATAAAATATCATACAAACAAATACACAAGCCTAATTCCTGAAAGATTGTGTTCGCTAGTTTGCGATCGAGTTCTTCGGCGACAATCGTACTCAATTGTTCATTGAATAAATGTGGTGCAATCGAGACTGTGTCATCCAATGTTGCCACAACAAACATTTCTTTCTAGAAGATAAGTGTCAATATATAGATAGATATATGCGCATATTTCATTTTCACTAAACACATTAGATTCTTGTTTATTTGTTTTTTTAAAAAACCGTTTTGTAACAAATAAGAGCCTATGGAGTGTCTTTTTCATTTGGTGCTTTTTTAGCACGCCGTACTGCGGACATGGCATCACCGGTTAGTTTAGTATCGGTAGGTTGAGAAGTTGACGGCGAAGATGGTATCGACGGTGGTGATTGAGTCAGAAAACCTTGTCGATCTTTGCTCTGAAGATTATTATAGATTGCTAATGCGGAGGCAACCATCGATGACATATCACCGGTATTAGATGGTAAAAGTATGGTATTATTCGTTCGAGCAAGGTTACCGAAAGCATGAACATATTGTTCAGCTATTTGTAATGAAGCAGCATTACGACCTTCCTAAATTTTTAGAAGAAGAAGAAGTGAGTATTCTTTGAAAAGAATGGTCAGGCTTTACTTCAGCTTGAAGTTGATCTGAAATAATTTTAAGTGCTTCTGCACGAGCTTGTGCTTTTGCACGTATGGCGTCTGCTTCACCAGTAGCATTGTTGATTTGTTCAAGTCGAAAACCTTCACTAGCCAAGATAGTTGCTTGTTTTGTACCTTCAGCTTTGTTAATCTGACTTTCCCGAATACCCTCACTCTCGAGAATGGTCGCTCGTTTACGTCGCTAAAACATAAAGCTTAATCGAAAAACAAAACTTAGTCTTCATCGTTACTTCAGCTTCGACTTGCATTTGCATAGCTTCTTGAACTTTAGCAGGAAGGCGAATATCACGAATTTCATACCTGTAGCAGTCACCTTAGACAATGACAGAATCACAACAAGCAAAAAAAGTTAACTAACCGAAGACAGTTGATTCCCCAAGCTTTGGCAGCTTTATTGATTGCATCTATTGAATATCGCAACGACATAATTGATAATACACAAAAAATAAAAGAATATCTTACCAACAATACCAATATTTAGTGATTCTCTCTCTCGAAATACTGTATCCAACGAGATTTTGCCAATTTCAGAACGCATCGTTGTTTGCGCTAGCTGAGTGACAGCAAATTCAGCATCTTCAACACCATAGCTAGCCTAGTGTACATATTTCACATGAATATCAATATGTCACTTCTATAAATGTGTATTTACCAAATAAGGATCAAATACTTTCAGATACAAAACACCATCGATGTTCAATGTAACATTGTCTAGAAAAAAAACAAACAGTGCATTTCTCAACGAATTTTCACTTCGAACTAACCTTTTGAAATAGCTGTTTGACTTGGAACTTCAATGGCAATTTCTTTCAAACTCTGCACATAGCTGATTCTATCAATCACTGGTAAAAGTAAATTCAAGCCCTTGAAAACATCAACTAATCGTTTTACAACGAGATGTATAGCAGTTTTCACTCACGGGATTTAAAGTCTTATAAAATTTTCCCATTCTCTCCACAACCCATGCTTCCTGTTGTGGTACAAATAGAACAACGGTATTAAATGGTAAACGAGAACGAAAACGATATTGTTGTTCAGTTGTTGCCGTCGTTATTGCTCGTTGTAATAGACGACGCTAATGAGAAGAGATATAGTAATGATTAAAGTCAATATTCCGCACACTTACAGACACAATCGGACCCAACGTTCGATTCAAGACAAATGCCATATCGATTTGCGCGACAAAACAAAAATGATTTCTACAAAAAGTGGATGATGCAAGAATAGAGAAGTCTGTGAGTGATTCATTTCAATTTCTATCTGTAGTATCACACACAAGCAGGAGTATTTTTATTTTTTTTTATCAATCTGACATCATTCATGGAAAAAATATATAAAAATGTGTAGCATTATCTGACAAGTAAAATTCATGGAGAGAAAAGTTGTCGTTTTGTGTCATCTAAAGCAAAATGAAAGAAAAGATTTGATGATGCAATTGTTTCGAATACAACTTACTATTTAAGTGGCTATAGTCGCTGGGGAGATTCTCATCGTTAACACTTAAATCATTCATATGGAATGGATCCCGACTATGACGATGACGAGGTGCTGCTGAACGTGGAATATCTTCAGGTTTCGATGCAGGAGGATTACTAGTAAAATAGGAAGATTCCAAAGCCTAGAAAGACGAAACACTTAATCATTACATATTTTTGTGTAACTTGTTTCTCATACCTGTTTAGCTGTAGCTCGATATTTAGGATTCATCACTAGTAGGCTTTTCAATAGTGTTAACTCTTGTTCATTGGCTTTGGGAAATTTTTTTTCGAAAGTTTCACCATTATTTACTAAGCTTTCGTCATTGAATTGAAGAAAATGCTTGAAATGTTTCGCCTCTGGCCATGTTTTATCAGTAGGCTCACCAAGTAAGCGATAGATCATAAGAATCTGTTCAATTTCGCTTTTACTTGGAAAAACAATATGACGATTGATTAGTTCGCCTAGGACAACACCTAGCGACCACATGTCCGTGTTTGTACCATACTGACGATCACCGAGAAGAAATTCTGGCGAACGATACCAAGCCGGTGGTAATCGATGAAGTTTTCGACATGTATCATCCACATAGATCGAAATACCGAAATCAGCGATTTTGATGATACCATGCTCATCGATCATAATGTTTCCTGGTTTAATATCCTATGCCATCGAATACGATTTATGACGAGATTTACATCAAGTGGAAGTATCATACTTGATGCATAATACCCGAAGAATGAATGTATTCCAGACCTGACAGCATCATGTAGGCCATCGATTTAATATGACTGTGCGAGTACCGGTTGTCTGTACAATGAATCAAACGCTAAACGAGACCAAGCTCTGTGCAAAAGAAGACAATTTCTCTTCGAAGATTCGACACTTACACCAAGATCAGCAAGCATCAATTCGAAAACTAATACAGCAACTTTAGAGTCCGGCGTATAAAATGAATCAAGTAACTAAACGAAAATCTTGTATCACAGAACTTTCCGCAAAACAAATGTGTACTCTAATAACGTTAGGATGATCTAATTTTCGTAACATTTGCATTTCATTTTCTGCCGCTGGTTCAGCCCAATCCGTATATTCGCCATGACGACCAACTTTTATCTATCGAAAAGAAATCAATACGTTCTTGAATGTTGCATTCGAAGGAATTCCCAACTTTTTTTATGGCCACTTCGGCACTTGTTGGAAGATACCGAGCTTTGTATATGCCGACAAGCTAAATAGATATCGAATGATTTTTCTGATGTAATCTTATTGTTTTCGTTGAGTCATACTGAATCTTCGACAATCACTTCTTCGACCACATAATTTTCGGATTTCGCGGACGCCATTGAATTGAACAAATCGAGAAAAGCTAAACAAAGACTTCTGTAGATTTGATTTCTTTTTCTACTATTGTTTATTTATTTCAATGATAAAAGCCAAAGAAAGACAAGAAAAATGTCGATTAGAACCCAGCCAACAAATAAGAAAAAGAAAATGTATTTATTCGGTTTTACAGCGACATCTTTCTGTCAGCCTAGATATGTTTTTTCTCTCTCTCTCTCTCTTTCTGCGTTCACCAATTGGATCACAAGCAACTAAGTCAGTCAAATAGAGCGAAAGAGTTGATTGATTGATAGGTAGATAGTGAACGACCATCGGTCAAATTGTTTTTTTTTTTGTTGTTGTTTCTCCTTTCACAAGAATTTTAATTAGAATTTGTTTCAATTTAGTTACATTTACAGCAACAATGCAGATATGAATACCAATAATATCAATACTCCATTGTCAAATCGAGTATGTCGCTTTTTTCACGTGAAGAAAACCGCAAAAACGAACGTCATTTTTTTTTGTATAGTCCGACGGTACTGATTCGGGATCGATCATTCCTTCGATGTATCCATCGACTCCAGCAGCACCCGGAAACAATTATTTATCACACCGAACGTTTATTCCGCCAACCCCGGGATCTGTCAGTTCAGACATTGATACATCGAATCTTACATCTATTCAACAAAATGATCCACGAAGAACTATCATTCAACAACTTGCACTTTTACTGCATGCACATAAATGTCTTCAACGCGAACGACAAGCACAAGCTTGCAATGGAGATAATCATGGAACAGCGCCGACAACGACATCATTGAATCTTTGCACATTACCACATTGTGCGACAATGAGGACAGTGCTTCAGCATATGACAAAATGTGCTGATTTCAAAAATTGTACATGTAAGTTATATGAACTATGAAGTTGCCTTTAAGTATGATGAATATCCACCTTTTTTCTACATAGTTAATCATTGTGTTCAATCACGTCATATAATACTCCATTGGAAAAATTGTACTACCCCAAATTGTTCCATATGTGGAACATTAAAAAAGCCATCAGCACTTCGTCCACAGAACTCTATTCGTAAGTTCGAATGTTTTTTATTTCTCGTTTGAACAACATGCAACTGACTCTTTCGTTTAGCCAAAGAATGGCAACAACAATTACACACCGATCAACGAAATCATTTAGTAAAAAAGATTGTTGCAGCACTATTAAATACTGTGCAACAAGACGGCCGTTCTCTTCCACCTGATCGCCTATCAGCAGTTACATCCTATGCTCAACAAACGGAAGCAGAAACTTTCAATACAGCTATCAGTCATGAAGACTATTTCCATCGTCTGGCTGAACGTATTTATAAAATACAAAAAGATTATGAAGAAAAACATATGTCGAAGAAACAGCAAATCTTAACGACAACATTGACATCCATAGATAAATCAGCTGGTGAACAAGGTCCACCAAATCGTATTGCGCCACAATCAGATTTTCCACCCTCATTTTTATCATCTTCCACAGCAACGCCACAAATCAAGTCAGAAAATCATACTCCGAATCCCACGCAATCAGTCTCCTTTGATACACATCGCATTTCGACTGATAGTCTCAATCGTATGACTCTAAATAACAATACTTCAAATACAACTACCCATTCAGATACCAATGGCACACATGCTGATGTAAAACCAATTAAAGCAGAACAGATATCACCCAATCACGATACCAAAATTCAAGTAAGTCATTGAAAGACACGAAGTTTCGCGAAAAAAGAACAGTCAACTGAAACTCAGCCTTGAACGCTGCGCACCTAATGACCTTTGTTGAACGCACAGGGATGTTGAGAATCTCTGCAGTTTTCGGTCGATTAAATCATATAAATTCTGTCTGTGTTCTAGGCTAACACTACTACGATGACAACGATTATTAAAAAAGAAGAAACTATTAGTACGAGTGAAACATCGGTCAATGGTAATAATATTACAACAACGACTGTTGAATTGATAAAAAGTGAAAAAACTGATATTGAAACAACTCAACCGAATCGTCCACCGCCGATTGATGCTGCAAGTAAACTATTGCAGAAACATCCAGCCGTATTTTCTCCAGAGGATATACGAGAGAAAATGACACCTGTACTTCGGCAGTTATACGATCAAGAAGAAGGTATTTGGTTTCGTCAACCAGTTACAGAAGCGATTGCGCCTGGATATTTTGATATAATTAAATATCCAATGGATTTCTCAACAATATTCACTAAATTAGATGAACAGAAATATACGACACCGTTTCAATTTTGCGAAGACATTTGGCTTGTATTCACGAACACTTGGACATTCAATAAGAGAAGTCAAAAAGTATATAAAGCCGGTCTTAAGGTAAATGAGAAGCGAATTATGAGAAAATCAACTGTGCATTGTGTATTCTTAGATTTCTGAAATGTTTATGGAACTAGTTGATCCTATCATGAAAGATTATGGTTATTGCTGTGGACGTCAGTATGTTTTCTTACCATCAGCCATGTTCTGCTATGGAGTCAATGGTATGTGTTGTACTATTGCGCGTGATGGTGATTATTTCGTTTATAATAATCCGGATTCATCAAGAAATAATCTATCCGGTGATAAATATACATTTTGCAAGAAATGTTTCGATTCTGTTAAGTCAGAATATATCTTAGTTGGCGACGATCCCGCCCAAACCTTAGCTGAATTACCTAAAGCCGAATTTCAACAAGCGAAAAATGACCATCAAGAACAAGAAGCCATGACGGACTGTATTGTTTGTTCACGACGTTTTCATAATATCTGTGTTCTCTATCACGAGCATATCTGGCCGGAAGGTTATGTATGTAAAACATGTGTAAGTCAGTACAATATTAAACGAAAAGAAAATCGTTATTTGGCACACAAATTAACAATGACTGATTTAGCAAATGCATTAGAAAAACGCGTTAACGATTTTCTTCGAAAAGATTGTGATCCTGATACAGGCCGTGTTACCATACGAGTATTAGCTGCAAGTGACCGTATATGTGAAGTCAAACCAAGATTAAAGAAACATTTTGGTACACAAGTACCCGACGGCTATCCTTATAGAACGAAAGCGATATTCGCATTTCAAGAAATCGATGGTGTCGACGTTGTTCTCTTCGGAATGCACGTTCAAGAATACGATAGTCGATGTCCAGCACCAAACACCAGGTAAGGTTTTCAATTAAGTTCGAGTTACAGAATACACTCATCTATTTCTACTTAGACGTGTTTATATCTCCTATTTGGATTCAGTACATTATTTTCGACCGAAACACAAACGAACGGCGCTTTATTTCGAACTCCTCATCGGCTATCTCGAATATGTTAAACAATTAGGATTTGCTTATGCACACATTTGGGCATGTCCACCAAGCGAAGGCGATGATTATATCTTTCATTGCCATCCAGCTGAACAGCGTGTGCCAAAACCTAAGCGTTTACAAGAGTGGTACAAAACAATGTTGGATATTGCTGTGAATCAACGAGTCGTCGTCGATTACAAAGTTTGTTTTTGATAGCATCGAGATGTTTTTTTTAGTGACAACGGAATATTTGCTCTAGGATATTATGAAAGACTGTACTGATAGTGGTGTGAACAAAGCATCGGATCTTCCATATTTTGAAGGTGATTTTTGGTCTAGTACAATCGAAGATTTGCTGAAAGAACTCGATACCGAAGAAGAAGATCGAAGAAAATTCGAAGAACTTGAAGCAGTCAAGGCCTCAGATGATGGCTGTTTCGACGATCCAATCGAGCCAGAAGAGCCAACTGAAGTAAAAGGAAAAGCTAAGAAATCAAGAAAGATTATTCTGTTAAATTTTGATAGATATCGGATAAACGTAAATCAGGTGGTGCGACAACACATAAGAAGAAGAATTTCAAGAAAACAGCTGGTCAACGGCGAATAGCACGAAAAAATATGTCGAATGGCACAGATCTAATCACGAAAATCTATGCAATGATGGAAAAACACAAAGAAGTAATATAAAATCTTTTGTCAACGGTACATTCGCACAAACCCATTTCCATTCATTTATTTAGTCGTTCTTTGTTGTTCGTCTACGCAATCCTATGTCCAATCCAGCAACGTTAACCGATACAGATCCATTGATTCAATGTGATTTAATGGAATCTCGTGATGCTTTTCTTAACTTTTCTCGTGATAAACATTGTGAATTTTCTTCATTACGTCGTGCCAAATATTCAACCATGGCTTCACTAATTGAATTGCATTCGTCAACAGCAGATAAAGTTTCGTATACATGCAATTCGTGTCGACAGCTATGTGATATTCGATATCATTGTACCGTATGCGATGATTATGATCTATGTAGTAAATGTTACACAACAGTTAAACATGAACATCGCATGGATCGTACAGATGATATGAGTGAAACACCAGCTAATTCAGATACACCGTTAACAACTCAACAACAGCGACAAGTCATGATGCAACGACAATTGGAAGCCATACGTCATGCAGCACAATGTCGGAATGCAAATTGTATATTCAAAAATTGTGCACCATGTCAAAGATTACTTCAGCATGCGAAGGAATGTACGAAGCCATCAAGAAATCAATGTCCATTATGTCATAAACTTATATCCCCTATTTGGTATCATGCGAAAACATGTACTGATCAAAACTGTCCGGTATGTTTTCTTGTTCTTCGTCTTTCTATCGAGTCTATTGAGAAAATATCATTTTATTTAGCTGCCCTATTGCGCGAGCTTTAAAAATAAACTTCAGCGACAACGTGCAGCAACTATGCAAGCAGATCGACGACGTATCAAAGCAATGCATCGGGCTAAAATGGCGCCAGGTACATTAGGAGTGATAGTTGTATTAAAAAATGTGACACTGATTTTTTTCGCACATCTAGGGCCATCTCCACTCAATACACAAAGTACGGAGCCTACACCTACACAGTATCATCATCCAATGGAGTCCGCTTCGCCAAGCTCATCTGGTAAAATGATGCCCTCAGGTGGTAAAGGCGGTAAACCTGCATCGATGAGTGGATTAGTGCGAGCTAACCTATCTTCTCAGCAAGTTTCTTCACAACACCCAGTTTATTACAACGGTGGCAAAGGCGGCCCAGGAAGTGGTGCGTATCCCATGATGATGTCTCATCCACAGCAATCTTCACAGCCATGGATGACACAACAACAACAACAACATCGATATGGATCGCATATGGCCAGTGGTGGTAAACCAATGGCTTACACTCAACAAAGAATGCCGTATGGTGGAGATCCGTATATGATGCGACAACAAACCCCGCAAGTGCCATCAACATCTTATCCGTATCCATCGAATATAGGTAAATAACTGAGCGCTAATGATGATTCTATATAGAATTTTTCTTAAATAATTTAGCTCCACCAGGCTATCCTCATTCTCAGCTAATGGATCCCAATGCAATCGCAGCAGCTCGTGCTGGTAAACCTATGTTACCTCAGCAAGTGCCACAGCCACAACAGCAACAAGTACCAACGCGATATCCATTGAACTCCTATTATAGCCATCCATCATCAATGTCTTACCAACAACAACAACAGCAGCAGCAGCCGCCGCAAATGCAACAACAACCGCCCCATCGATCACTTTCCCAAGGCCCAACTCCTACCTATTCGATGCCATCTACTCCAGCGCCGTCAAACGGTGCTAGTTGTAAACCAATTCTTCTCGATTCGCTCGAATCGAAACCTGACGATCTCTTAGACGATCCATCGAAACAACAACCACAACAGTCACAGCAACAGCAACAAATGTTCCATTCACTTATTCAATCTCGTTCACGTTCACAGACTCCTTCTTACTATCCGAATATGTCACCAGCTAATGCTTCTTATTATTCTCCTCAACGTCCAATGACACCCACAGGAGATTATAGTATGGTCCAAGCACGTGGTATTCGACCGCCACCTCCTGCTGCCTATGGAACTTTACCAGTTCAGCAGCGTATTCGAACTCCACTTGCTCCGCCTATGTCATCTGTAACGAGTGATCCATCAATGGGTATGACACCAAATTCTATGGGACTTCAGTCCACTCCACCTCCACCTTCTGTAACGCCTCGTTAAAATCAGAATTATTTTCTTTCTCGATCTCTATTTATTATCTTCGTACGTGTGTCTCTTGCGCTCTATTTTTTGGCCGACTGATTTTATTCTTCTCTTAAATTATCGGCAAGGGTCTCATGTGTTTTTTCTCATTTCATTTTCTCTCTTTTTATACACATTCATATATCTCTCATACATATATGAAACAAATAACTCAATTCATTTGGTTTCATTTTCTTTCGAGTGTGTTCATGTACATAAAGTTGAATCTTTTGTTTTTTTTTCTTTTCTTGCTTCTTTATGAAAAATATGCGCCTCGTTCAGCTATGGTAGTTTTGTCAATTGTTTCTTTTTTACATCGCTCATGTATATTAATATCTGTTTGCTGTGGAACAAAATAAAAACAAAGGCATCTTCGTTTCTCTCTCTCTGAATATTTTTCATAACAGATTTTGTTGATGTTGTTGTTGTTATTCGCTTTGTGCATTAAGTTTATTTCTCTCTCATTCGTTGTTGTTGTACTCTGTTGAATCCTCATTTCTTTATCTCTTCTTGATTTCCACAAGGAGTATGAATCAATCGATGTGTATGTATCACATGTCTCTTTTTTCCTTCTCTTTAAGATTTGTCTGTCTTTCTTCCAGACAATATATGCTTTTCCTCTCGCTTTTTTCTATAAGCCCGAGCGCGCGCTATTGCCGTCAAAAATCTTATTTACTTTCTTTTTTTCTACTTGTACTAATAATAAAGTGAAATGATCAAATGAAAAGCAGAACGATTTTTTCTTAAATATATGAAATTGTGTATTTGTTATGAATGAACAGCAATCGTAGAGAATTCTGGGACTTAAGGTATTCGATGATAGCACTGTGTTTTGAAAGAAAATATTAATATCGATCATCAGAATTGTGCTAACATGTATGTTTGTTTTAATTCTCGTCGGAATCGTCCGCTTTTGCTGCTAAGAAAACGAAAAGTGGAAGATATGCCATTTATAAAGACGATTAGAGACCACTCACTTTTCGAAGTTGTTGTAATTTTATCTAAAACTCTTTCACCATGAAAATAATCTTTGCGATGTTTACTAGATTTGTTGTTGCATCTACTTTGATGGAAACATGGTATGAGAAAATCTGGGAGATTCGTATGTCGATACGCTGCTCGGTGGACAGGATCGTCTAGCTTGTCACAACTTCGACCGTTGTCGCATTTAGGAGCACGATGTGGTTCATGAGTAAGATGAGGTTCTCTTTCCGAGCAGAGTTCTGAATAACGACATGGGTGCGAATATGTTAAATTATGTTCTGGAACATCGGACGAGTACTGAAGAAGACAGTAGATGCTATCTTTACACGGTTTCAAAGGTGACTTCGGAGTTTTAGCAGAAGCACTCTTTCGTTTGTCTGCCATATGATCATACTCGAGTTTGCTCTTTACCGTCGGTCGATTCGAATCATCGTATTCTGTTGTTGAACTGGCACTTGCACTTGTGCTTGCCGTTGATGCGCTCCCGAAACTTTTATCGAATGTTGGGTGCATCGAGGGTTGTCTTGTAAAATGTATAACTAAATTTTTCATCGGCACTTTATGATTACCAGCACTCACATGAATAAAATTCAATTTAGTCAAATCAAGATCCGATCGACTGAATCTACAACACATGATACCTCGGCTGTAGAGCGCATTTGGTCCAGCATGTGCAAGAACAACAAAGCCAGTCAAAAGATGAAGCTCTAAGCAATAAGTAAAATAATCTGTATTGTTACAACCAGTGTAAAACGTATCTGTTTTCACTGCATATTTCTTTTTGCTCGTGATTATTTCATGTTGAAATGGATGACCAACTGCAAGATAAGAAATCGGTTCGTGATATTGATCGTCAATTGCAATAGGTTTTGCGGCAACATAGCATATTAAACAACGTAAATGTGATTGATCCACATCTAGATCAATCTTTTCACTTGACAACGTTAACATCATATCACCGTGTAAAGCTTTCCAGTAGATATGAGTTATATTATCTTTTGATGGATGAGCCTCTTCGAAATTATATTGTGCGTACGCTTGCGAAATTGTGAGAGGTAAAACATAGTGTTCATCGAGATTGGTAGAAGGTATTGTCATTGTTATACCTCTCAGATAGCTCAATGCTAAAGAAGGAGTATACTTTTTATACCGCTGTAATATCGTTCTTACAACTGCCTCTTGGTAATCAGCTCGTGCTTTCGAGCTTGGCGTCGCCCCGAATGTTCCTTTATCAGGCGTTAGTTCAACTTTGTGGTCTGCAATAGTAATGCGATCGCTAAATACGGCCTCAACGGCTCTTCTTGCATCCTCACTAAGATGATCAAAAAGACTCCTTGGCATATAGATATGATCAATATAGTCTAAAGGAATCAGTTGAGGTAGATGTGCTTCGATCGTTTGATGAGAATCAACTGCAAGCCATCGTTGAAGTATTTGATCAAGAGTAATATCCATTGATTTCAAGTTGAATTGTGAACTAGTGAGTGCCATCAATTCCAGTGCTGCAGCATGCTCATAGCCTGGCACTCCAGCATGTAATTTAGTCGCATGATAATGTTTCACTCGTTCGGCAGTAGAACCCGGATCCTTACCCAACCATGGTCGCATTGTATAGGCTCTACCGCTAACAAACGACGTAGCTGCTTGCATAGAGAAATTTGCATCACAATGATGCAAAATCTCTCGTTTAAAGATGATAATTATATCACCGTAATAATGACCCATATGTGGTCCAAGGATACTGAAAACAAGTTTATCAGTACCTAACGCTTTGTCGGAGGCGTAACCAATACCGGCGGGATCGGAATGAAGTTTGATAGATGCTCGTGCAATATCAATTGCTTTTGAGCGTAATGCTCTCATGTCATTCGATGGAATTGTACCAGATAATTTATTCTCTTTCTTTCTTACTGTATCCTCAAAGGATGATGCGACGAATATTTCCGGATTTGCAGATTTCGATAGAAATCCTTGCTTGCCAAATTCGAGACAAACTAACGCAGTAACATATTTTCTTGCATCTTCTTCATATGTTTTGATTTTCAAAGCATCAATACGTCTGATTCGACTGTGATGTAAGACGGAATTGGCAACGAACGTTGGATCCTTCAAGTGCTCCATGTATTCACGACTCATTACATGGCCATGGAGAAGTATAGACTCAAATATAACTAAGTTACATCGATGGATGGGTTGTACCGTACGTATCCAATCAACAATTTCATCAGGTATTATGCCTGACGGTAAAGGCTTCCAATTCTGTTTGCTAACAAATCGACTAACACATTCTACGTTGTTCCTGTGGTTCTGAACAAAATCTACTTGTTTATTCGTACCATAGTATCTTACAACGCCAGGCTCATGTATGATATGATGACGAAATTGAAGTCTATGCTCAAGTTTATCCGGCTCCCGGCAGTCGTCACGGTATGGACATAACGGTCGAATATCAGGAATATGCGGGTGTGTCAATGTATTAATGTGTTCTTCGTCGGAAACCATACTGCATTTTTCACCGTATGGACACACTTGACGTGCAATATGAATTGATCTAGATTGATGTAATTGTGTTTGATCAAGACAGTTTCGTCCAAGTTTGCAAACATGAGCAAAATTCAGACAATGTTGTTGGATGACTGTTGAAAGACTTCGATTATTTTTTGATTCACAGAGAGCACTATGCATTGGACATTCGAATGGAGTATGTGGACACGGAGGTGGAAATGGATGCTGAAAATCTTCGAAATGACTCTTGTCATGGAATAAAGCACAGTTGTTTCCGTATGGACAATATGGAGCAAAATGTCGATATTGATCACAATGTTCTTTAACTTCCTTCAGATAATCAATACATTTATGACTCTGCGGGCAAAGTGGTAAGTGTCGATACATTTTCAAATGATCTTCTGTTTGTTTCTTGCACCGACCTCCATCAGGACAAAAGGATGGATGTTCATATTCGCGACAATGATTCTTGTCGCCGATCTGGTCACATTTACCACCCTTCCGACATTGACTTTGGCTTGACGACTTGCTTGCGGTAGTTCCATCATCTTTAGATTTCTATCAATTAAGACGAATTTTGTCAGTAGAAAGCACTTATATTTACTTTCATTGAGAAGAAAATACTTTTATGAAAATTTACCTTCGAAGAACTCGCTGATTTCGATGCGAGCAAATTTTCTAGACATGCACGGTGAAATGTAACGCCCGACGCTGTCGTTACCTCCTGATCGTCATCTCCATGCAAGGGCTGATTACATGACGAACAAATTGACATTTTAAACAAATCTAATGTATAAAGAAATCCTTCGTTTCAAACATATTCAGATTTCAGAACATAGAGTACCTCAGATCAACAATCGCAAAAGCTGAAGATAAAATATGATTGTCATCAACCGGACGCAATTTCTTCGAAATGTTTTAAATCCAAACTACTGGGGAGCAAAACTTCATGAGTGTAATAAATTTCTTTTCTTTAGTTTGATAGGAAGAAAAAAAAACTTATCTGGCGTAAATAACTACAAAAAATTCCAACATAGGTGTCAGTACTGAAGAGAAAAAAACACGGTTTCACATGCTTTCTTTTCGATTAATAACAAGGAAGAACACAAAAAAGCATTTTCTTCTTTTTAAATTTTTTATGGCTGTTTTTTTCTTCTGTTCTTCTGTAAATATATCTAATCTACTTCTGTATATATTACCAACACTAACGCAGATGAAAATATACACATGCTTTTAGATCATTCACCATGAACTACAAACAATGTACGAACATTGAGACATACTCATAAGAAATTAAAAATTCTATTCAAGAATTCTTTCATATAAGTCATATTTAAAAAAGATTTCAGATGGCTTTGAATCGATTTTGCGTCGTGAATTGTCTCCGTTACTGGTTTTAGTAGATCTTGTCTTTCTACCATGGCGTCTATCAGCCATCCCAATCCTTCACGAACACCTTCACCACGAATTGCGCACGTTGGATGTAAATGCCATTTTTTAATCCCATCCAACTTGACTAAATTGAGTTTTACCTTTAACTCGTCCAGTGTCATTGCAGTTGGCAGATCTTGTTTATTAGCAAGAATGAGGAAAGGTTTGGTGCGTAATCCCTCTTCATTGGCGAGCTGATGCAGTTCATTACATGTTTCTTCAATCGTTGTTCGATCACTGGAATCGACTACATAGATTATTCCTGTCATTCGTCGATAATACGCTCGCTGTAATGCGCGACCTGCTGAACGTCCGCCTTCGTCGAGTAAAATAACTGAGTTATTGTTTATAGGAACAATCTGGATTTCTAAGCCCATCGTGTATAAGGAATCATGTTGATTTTCAAGTTTTCTGGGAAAGAAGACTACGGAAGTTTTACCTAAATATAAAAGTAGCGTAAATGAATACTAGACTGCCAGAAATGAGCAGTTCGTTACCAGCTGAATGCGCTCCCGCTATGAATACCATGAATGATGAACGTTTAGAATCGGGTTCAGTTCGTTTGTTATGTGAAGAAGCCATTTCTATGGATTAGCTTTGCTCGAATTGCTAGCGACCGACTAGACAGAAGATTTTGCTCGGTTTTTTCCTCTCTCAAATATACCTTTTCTAACGTGACAATGAGTAAGAAAAGTTATAGTATTCAAACTGTGACATCGTGTCAAATATTTCACAATTCGAATGCAAGTCTTTCGATGACTCAACAAGAAGAACAAATGTAACTATCTCATTTTTACAGTAGTTAATAAAATCCAACAAATTTCTTATTATAAAGTTTGGAGCACAAAAAAGAACTAAAATTGACTATATTCGAAATTGAATAAAGTGCTTTGTTCACCAGTACTTGTATGGGTACTGAATAGCACCGTACCATAAATGTTTTCGATGTGGATATCTGTGGCTTTGTAGATGAGAACGATCATGAGAGCTATATGAGGGATCATCAAACTGCGATCGATGATGTGATGCTCTGTGATGATCACGATGCCATTGATGATCAGGTGCCTCTAAAGAATTTTCAGAGATTAAATATGAAACTAATTATTTGATCATAACTAACTGATCATTGGATAAAAACTCATGCCATTTGGCCAAATATTCGCATTGAGATAAATAGGTTCATTACAATTACTATGGATGTAAGGTAATTGTTCATTGTCTGAACCTCGCTGTACATCGATAGCAACATGTTTCAGTACGGTTTCTATTTCAATATTTGGCATTGCAAGACGCGGAAGTAAATGATGCGTATACACACTGTTTCGAAGGTCAGATCTGGCTATAGATGATGCACCTGCTGCACATCCATAAGCAATAATAGTTGATGGTGGACCTTTCATAGGTGCAAGACCATCTCGTAATTTTGGACGTCGATCGAAAAATGAGTTCTGTCTAACTGCGTCTGAAATGCTGACACGTGTCCGACAGCAATCTAGGATGACGATGACAACTCGCGGCCGGTTTTGATGCAACTGTTGGATTACGCTTTGAGCGTCGGTGCAGTAAGGATTGGAAAAATCTATAGGTAATAGAAGATTCTTTCCATCAAATTGAGCGCCATGACCAGAATAGTAGAAGACAACGATAGAACCTGGTCGAACCGAGCGTGCGAATTTATAGACTGTTGAGTCCATTTGCTCCTCGGTGAGATCGATTCCTACCCGGACTTGAAAACCAACCGATCGCAAGGATCTAGCTGTGTCTCTTGCGTCATGAGCACATGGTGTTAGGTTTCCTTCTTCGTATCTGACATTTCCTATAGCCAGCGCTTGTTTTGGGTTCATTGTAATGGCGCGCAAAAACAAAACTTCAAGCGGAAATCTAGAAATACTGACGTAATTTTTTACGAAAAGTATGAAACTTTAGAAATGAATTTGTCAAAAAAATAAGTTGTTGTTATTCCTGTAGGGAAAAGAATGCTGTGGTCGAAATTAATCATAGCATATGGTTGATGTCGGAAGGTAAAAGCATGACTGTGGAGAAAAATAGATCGATGTTACTCATTTTTTCTTCTACTCAGTGTATAATGTCACGTTGCTTAACACTTCTGTAAGAGTATATCAGTAAAAAAGAAGTATCACAAGTCAACCAGATGTATAGATATGATCAGTTTGCTTACCTTTTTTATTTTTTTGTTTACGTGAGAAACGAGCAGGTGGGAAATGTATTGGATCATTGGTTATAATATGGCGAACTAATGAAAATGTTTTACTAGCTTCATTGCTCCATGCTTTTTTCTCTTGTCCTTGACAGTTCATTTTTGCCCGAAACCTAAAACATTGCTTTTTCCACTTTCAGTTTTGTGTGCCTCTTAGTAAACATGTCATATGAAAATTAGCTACAAAGTGTTGATAGAGTGTACTATTTATCGGTGCAAACTATTGGACCTGAACCATTCTTCCCCCACAGCATGCATTGCAAACTATCATGTTGAAAACAAGCAAATGTCCTCTTTTGCGTTTAGTGGTTAATCATCCGTCAGAAGTGATGTGAGCGATAAACAGATTGTATCATACATATCGATACCATAAAACGCGAGTGGTTTTATATTTCATTTCAAGGATTTTAGTGATTATCTATATGACAAGTCAATCTATACATTTTCATCACACCCCAATTCTTATATTTAATTAGATAAAAAAAAACATTTCTATGTTTCAAAGGCAAGCATTAGTCATTGGCAATGGCAATTACAAAGCATCACCACGAAAGTCATGTGTAAACGATGCGAATGATATGTCTGTTGCACTACGTTCAATCGGATTTCTTACACATTGTGCAACTGATCTGAACAGTTACGAATTGGAACGACGTACGAATAGATTCGCACAATCCATCGAACCGAACTCTCTAGTAGTGTTCTATTATTCTGGCCTTGGTGTACAGTACAATGATTACAATTATTTAATCCCAACAGATAATGCAGGAATCAATGCTGAGAGTATCAAGGAAGATGGTATTAATATTGAAAATTTCGTCGAAACCTTACAAAACAAAGCCCCTAGAGTAGTGATTGTTATTCTTGACTGTTGTCGACCGTATCGGGAGTTGGGACGTTTGAATCCATTTTTTGATCGAAATACACTTGGCTTGCTCCAAGGACTTGCGCCTGTACGGCCACCTCCGTCTACTGTCATTGCCTACTCTAGTGCAGAAGGAACATCATCGACAAGATTGATCGTCAAAGGAAGAAATAGTATATTCACTCATCATTTACTTCGTCATATAACCACACCAAACGTCGATATTGATACGATTTTGAAACTTGTTTCTTGGAGTGTTCAACAAGAAACTCGGAATCGGCAAATACCTATTCGGTACAGTAATGTGTACGAAAACATCTATCTTGTCAATACCGGATTTAACCAAAATAATCTACAATGGTCGTATGGTATGCAACTAAAACAACCCATCGGTGAGTAAGATTTTTGTGATATTGGGTGAGATTTTTCGATGAGCATGTATTTAGGTATGAGAGATTATCAGCCAAGACTTATGCTAGATTATGCTCATCATCAACATCATCATCATCATCATCATCATCATCATTCACGTAAAACGAGGAGAGCAAAGAATGTGATCCATCCATTGACATACCATTTCTAAACTTTTTCGAGAAATTAGTTAATCTTTCCAATATGCATAATTAAACAAAATCGAGACATCATGTATGAATACAATTGTTTTACCCAATGTCTTTGTAAATTATATATTTGTAATCCGAATAATATTAACTTAATATGATAACTCGTACAATTCAAAACAGAAAATGAACTATTCCACCAAATATTCAGTATCACTTAATATGAACAAATTGATCCAACAAAGAAAGATAAACGAATGATTATGAAAAAAGAATGAGAAGAAAATTCCCGAATCGTTCTGTTCATTTAAAAGAAAAAGAAATATTTGAGATTCTATTGAAAACCATTTGGATTATTTGACTGCCATCGCCATAAATCACGACCTATTGTCATAGACACGATATAATTGAAATATCCTAGTTGCAAATGATAATTTGTACTTACACATGTCATCGAGATCTCGTTTTGCCGACCATTCAAGCTCTTTAGTAGCCAAAGCAGGATCAGCGTAAACAGAAGCGAGATCACCTGCACGTCGAGGACATTCTTGATATGGAATTTTTTTTCCGGAAGCTTTTTCCAGTGCTTTGATCATTTCCAATACCGAATAACCTTTTCCCGTACCAAGATTGTAGATCTAAAAATAACAAGTTAGTATTATCCTTTCCCCAAATTCTTTGTTCTTACTTTGAGACCCGGATTATCTTTAAGCTTCTTTACAGCAGCTATATGACCAGTGGCCAGATCGACAACATGAATATAATCTCGTACACCTATATACAATCTTTCAGTTTATGTGATCGAACGAGTTTATCAGACTGACCTGTTCCGTCGGGTGTGTCATAATCTGTACCGGTGACGCTAACAATTGGTAAACGACCAACAGCTACTTGTGCAACATAAGGCATAAGATTATTCGGTTTGCCGACAGGATCTTCACCGATTAAACCTAAAACATCCGATAGTAAGTTTGACCTTTGTCAATCTGTAAATCAAACCTGATTCATGAGCACCAACAGGATTAAAATATCGTAGGAGAATAATATTCCAATCCTAAAAATTCACATTTGTTAACGAGAATCTTATTTTGAACAATACGAACCGGATGTGCGACAACTGTGTCTTTAAGAATATGTTCACAGATGTATTTACTCTTTCCATATGGATTTGTAATCGCATCGCCAGTACATGGATGTTGCTCGTTCAATGGCAGATATTGTGGTGCACCATAAACAGTTGCTGATGAGGAGAAAATGAAATTTTTCACATTGAATTCTTCCATACACTATCAAATTAAGAACTAATCGATTAAAACTATTGTAAAACAAAAAAAAACGTTTACTGTCAGCAAATTGAATAGACAACCGACATTATTTTTATAGTATAAAACTGGCTTTTGTACAGATTCACCGACTGCTTTCAAAGCAGCAAAGTTAATTATGGCATAGATCGAATGTTTTTTGAAAACATCTCGTAACTTTTCCAAGTCCAGACAGTCAACTATGTAATATGTTAATTTACGGCCAACAATCTTTTCAACTCGCTTCAAACATTCTAAACAAGTATATTGATCAGTCGGGGTCAGTTCAATCTACTTGATCATACCTTCTGAGGAGTTTGATAGATTATCAACAATGATTGGTTCGTAACCAGCATTGACCAATTCAATCACGCAATGACTGCCGATAAAACCTATACCCCCTGGCACCAATATGTTAAGTTTTGTCGCATCAGCTATGTAGGAAAAATGTGAGTTTATTTTTGGAAATGGTCATCGATCTTACCCGACGTCGCTGCCATATTCCTATGTTGCAAAGGAAATCTAGAATATTTTTTCATAGTAAAATGTTATTTGATTTAAAGTAAAAGAAAAGATAAAGCGGTCAGAGTAAGAAAACGTTAGGAATGCAGTGATTTGTGTCAATAAGCACAGATAAAAAAAGAACCATTGAGAATGAATAAGTCACAGAAGAAATCCACAGATAAGCAAAAATGGACAAATAATTAAAGAATACATTCTTTCACGTTACAAAATTACCTAAAGGAGTGTAGCATACGAAAGAAAACAAATGAATGAATATCACGGGGGGGAATTGGCATTTGCTTAACAGCATATTATAAATTCTGCTTTTGTAATTCCTTGCTTTTCTCAAACTTGAGGCACAAACATATACATTATTGGAATGTCAGAGAAGATCAAACGAGAAAGAAAAAGAAAGTTATGAATAGAAGCATGTGCATGAGTTCATACAGATGAAAACTGAAGACAATGTAAAAAAAAATCGAGAGTAACACTACAATAAATAGAAACATGACAAAGATATAGTTAATCTCATGAAACAGAACTAGGAACTATAGTTGCTGGTTCGCGACGTGATTGATTAAGAGTATTGAAGTTAACATTGAAAACAATTAAACAACCTGTCGAAAGACCAGCCATGATGTATCTGAAAGCGACAATGAACAATGATGTTTTATTGGGCATAGAAGAGTAGTTACTTTTGATCGTGAGTTATAGCTAATGAACGAATACTAGCATCACATTGTGGATATGCATAAACCGGTTGTAAATCGTGGGTTCGAAGGATTTGAACGAAGCCACGATCACCTCCAATAACTGTGTATTGGCTATCGGCATTCAATACAAAACTCTAGAAAAAGGAAAATGTCATCTATTCGTCTTTCCATTCATTCATTCATACTTGAATAGTTTCATCTTCAAAAATAGCTTGTCGCATTAATTTTCCATTTAATGTGTATAAACACAGATTTGATCGATTGTAACAAACGATAATATCGCCATCATTGGATGGTGATAATAAACGTGGAGTAGACATGTCACATGGATTCTCGAAAGCTCGTAAAATGTCACCACTGAGTGTATGCTGAAGAACGAAACTATGTTCGCTGCCACTTAGAACAATACCAAGTTCAGCTGAAATCCATAGGCATGTTATATCACTATCGTGACCTGTTAGAATCGCTGATGGCGATGGGTTAATATCTAAACATCGATAATCAGTCTTTATTTTAATGAATCATTAAAATCATTCGTCTAACCTTGATTAGGAAATTCTTTGTCAACGATGGCTCCTTTTGATCCGTTCCAGACCCAAATGCAAACTGTTGCATCTCGTGATCCAGTTGCAATGAAACAGTTTCCACTAACGGTAACTTCCGAACGACATACGCATGTGACCACATCGAAATGACCGTATAGAACTTGTATCGTCTTGGCCATATCGGTATTCTGTACCCGGAAACTCTTATCCCAATAGCCTGTTGAAATGATAAATCGATTGTCAGCAGTAATGGCAAAACTTTGATGACGTTGTTGAATACGTTCATCGAATGCATCACCCAGATGACGACGGTGTAATCCGGTATTTAATACTAAAAATGTTAAATCGATCACTCATTCAACATGAATTAGACACTGCTCGTTTACCTAAGAGTGAATCCATGCTCAAGGGTAATTGTGGTTGTTGAGTATTCGCAGTTTGAGCTGTTTCTGTATAAGTTGATGATGCCGATGGTCCAGTATTGGCATTATACTTATTGATTGAAAAATCATGCTTATTACTAATGGTCAAAACAGCTTGAGTGGCAAGCGTTGAATTGGTATTGGCAGCAACGTGAATAATTGGTGCGTTTGACGAAAATTTCATAATCATCGAAACGTCTTCCATTGTACTAATTATCAAAATTTCAAAATTTTCTTCCGCGTAGTTACAACAATGGTACTTACGTGTTGAAGGCTGATGGAGTCTATAAGGAAAAACAATCGACTATAGTAAGAATAGAATTGCCGAATGGATTGCTTACGGTTGGTACTACTGAGTTTCGTGGTGGATGTGGTTCGCTAAGAAGTTGTGATGGAACTTGACCGAACGTTTTGATTTGTTGCTCAATCGTTGCACGATCAACTGGACTGGTTATAAGATCGAAATTGATCGCACCTTCGTATGATAAATGATAGAAAACATTGACAGCTCGAATAGCTTCGGGTCCTAACAAGTCGAGAGTCGATAAGTAATGTGTAACAGTCATCAAAGTTTGTAATAACAAACCTTTTTGCTTGTAACCAAAGATTAAATCAATCCATTGATGCAGATGTGATGAGACAAATTCGGATTCCAAAGCCTAATCAAATGAACATAGGAACGTTAAACGAAACAAAGAGCAATGAATGATTACCGCTCGATTCATTCGAACGAAATCTTCCGGTGTTTGAGCCCATTTTGGCAGAGTAACATCATCGATAGCACGATCATCTGATGTTTGACCAAATTGATAATTATTGAAATTAGTCAAGAATTCTGGTACAGAGTAAAACTCCGGAATCAACTCCTTGACATCGGATGAATCACGTTGACAACTTTGCCAAGCATCAGAGACAGAATAGAACGTTCGACTAGGTGACTCAAACTTATTTTCATGCATATTCAAATAGTACGATGTGAATGGTTCCTTGAAAGAAATAAAGGAAACGGTAGAGCTGTAGATAGAAGATATCCGTGACTTACAAGTCGAATAAGCCAATTAAGTGTTGATGATGCCGTAGAATAATGCGATCCGTAATGAAACGCTGGAACTGAATCCGATTCCCAAGTATTATAACGTTCGACAAAGAATGCTTTTCGTGTTGGATTCAATGCGCCGATGGGCTGAAAAGAAGCGACACTTAGCTAGACGAACAGAAAAATGATCTTATCGTACTTTGGACAGATCTCGATAAGTAGATGCGCTATTTAAATCGAGTTTCTCACTGTCATAGTCTCCTATAATCCATGGAAATATCGGATATTGGTCTAAATCTTGATAGCTTCGACCTAGAAGAATCGATCATTGACTTTTACTTGGCAAATGATATGCACATTACCCGAAATCGTATTCAAGTACATCAGATATTCGAAATTGGAAATTTCTCGCCGTTGCCAACGTTGTGTCATATTCGCAGAACGAAACAATTG